CCCCACAACAGACAACAAACAAAGAAGCAAACAAAAACCCAGTAGACTTGTGGCAGAAGTGGCTGAGCATTAGCCCTGAGCAAAAGAGCTTAGGGACAGCATTCAGGCCCCAAGTTAAGACCCAGTTTAGAAAGAAATCACCATTTAGGGTGTTTAACTCCCATTTTCCAGTTTGGCAAATAGAAAATTCTTTTCTCTCTTTTTCTATTTCTCCCTTCTTTAACCCTGCTGTACTAAAACAAATCCTTGTCAAAACTTCCTTTTCTTTCTCTCTCTTTTTAAAAAAATGAGTAGTTCTACAATGCTTATGGAATAACTATTGAACATTTCTTTTGGTTCTTTGCAAATTTAACATTGATTAATGCTGATAATAGGCCTTTAGCATTGACGTAAGCTAGGAATTGGGCTAGGGCCATCCCATAATGATAAACTCAGCCATTTCAAGGCTGCGTTGTGGTGAAGTCTGGGTCGGGGATGATCTGATGAATTAGAAGATGAGTGGGAAAGAAAACATTGTGGAGCCATTGGTCCTTGAGCTGTGATTTAAAGAGGAGAAACTTGTGGTTTGGTTGTTGTTGCATGGATTAAGGAAAAAAAACTAAGCAAAGGCTCACAGCCAGGAGAGAAAGCATCTGAGGAAGGAATCACATGACAATAAATGTTGCTGCTCTCAAGGGTGAAGGCTGGGTTAGACAAGGAGATGAAAACAGTGGAGAGAGCCTAGTGCTGGTGACTCACACCTATAATCCTAACTACTCGGGAGGCTGAGATCTGAGGATGGTTGTTTGAGGTCATCTAGGCAGAAAAGTTCGTGAGACTCTTATCTCCATAACCAGTAAAATGCTGGAAGTGGAGGTGTGGCTCAAGTAGTAGAGTACTAGCCTTGAGTGAAAAAGCTGAAGGAGAGCAAAGGATCTTGAGTTCAAGTCTCAGTGTTGGCCCACACATGCACTCCCTCCCCCAGATTTCTTTCTTTCTTTTTTTTTTTTTTGGGTCAGGTCGTGGGGCCTGAACTCTGGGTCTGGGCGCTGTCCCTCAGCTCTTCAGCTCAAGGCTAGTGCTCTACCACTTGAGCCACAGCGCCACTTCTGGCTTTTTTCTTTTGTGGTGCTGAGGAATCGAACCCAGGGACTCGAGCATGCAAGGCAAGCGCTCTACCACTGAGCCACCTTCCCAGCCCCTCCCCCAGATTTCTTGAACACAGCATATGAGTATTGCTACTGAGATGTCATTTTACTAGCTGGCAACAGTCATATTCAACATGTAAACACATATGTAGAATTAGTGTGGTTGCCATTATGACAGTAACCTACATTATATCTTCAGCAAACAATCAAAAGCAAAAGATTATAGAAACAAGAATTTGCATTAAGCTATAGTTACGATTAATTTGCTTAATACCAATTAATTTGCATTTAATTTGCATGATGCAGTGTTAAATGCAAGCGAATGAAACTTCTTCTGACTGAATTAGAGTGGGCATGGCTTTTCTGGGGATCCCATTGCTCCCAGCCAATGAGAAAGAATTTCCTGAAGGGTGGGCTACTGCCTTGGAAGAAAAACACCACCTATCTGGGGCTGGTGGCTCACGCCTCTAATCCCAGCTACTCAGGAGCTGAGATCTGAGGATCATAGTTCAAAGCTAGCGTGGGAAGAATTGCAAGAGATTCTTATCTCTAATTACCAGCAAAATCCTGGAAGTGGAGGTGGGACTGAAGTGGTAGAGCACCACCCTTGAATGAAAAAGCCAAGAGAGAGTGTGAGGCTCTGAATTTGAGTCCCAGTACTGGCACACACATGTACACACACACACATGCACACGCATGTGCACACACACAAGTACTGGCACACACGTACACACACAAGTTCTGGCACTGGCACACACACACACACACACACACACACACACACACAAAGAAAAATATACTTCCTGGATAGTATGTTGTTTCTGGGCTAACTCTCTAATATCTTAACTCAATAAGAAATAATGTTTGGAAATATACAGGGCTATTTCTGCTCAAGACTGGCTCTCTACCAACTTGAACCACAGCCCTGTTCCCACGTTGCTGCTGACTAATTGGAGATAAGAATCTTTTCTGCCCAGGTTGGCCTTGAATCATGATCCTCAGATCTCAGCCTCTTAAGTAGTGAGGATTACAGGTGTGAGTCACCAGCACAGGCTTTCCACATGATTCACAAAAGAAAAAAGTCACTCACATGCCTATCCAGAGCTGGAAAACCTTGTCAAGGCTGGGGTGGGCCGCATAGGTGGCCCATGTGGGCAGTGGGCTCGTAGATCAGGTAGCCGGGGATAATCATGCAATCCTCTAATCATTTATGACTGCTTTAATGAGGGAGGAAAATGGCTCCGAAGCAGGCCAAGTGTACATGCAGAGAAGCAGAGAAGCAGAGAGCGAGCGAGAGCGCTTTCCTCAGGAAGGGGGGGTGGGCAGGACTTGGAAAATTTGAATGTTGGAGTTTTGGAGCAGGTTGAGAGGTAAGTAGAGGGGGGATTTCATCTCCGGGGTGGTCCCGCTTTTCCTTACAGAAAGTGGCTCTCTGTATAGGTTTACATTCTGCCTGCCAGCCACAGCTGCCGCCTGCCCCACCCCACCCCACCAGCAACAGCTGCTCCTTCATGGCCATGCAAACACCTGGGCTCCGCGCGTGCGTGCGTGCGTGTGTGTGTGTGTGTGTGTGTGTAAGAGAGATAGAGAAATAGGGAGAGACAAATAGATGAATAGAAAGATAGACAGAGAGACAGAGAAATAGAGATGGGGACAGAAACACAGAGACAGAGACACAGAGAAAGAGAGAGAAATAAAGACAAACAGGGACTGAAACACAGAGACACAGAGAAACACGGAGAGACAGAGACTAACAGCCACACAGAGAGAAATAGAGACAGAGATAGAGAGGCCCAGAGAGAGACAGAGACAAAGGAGATAGATAAAGAGAGAAACGGACACAGACACAGAGGGAAAGAGATGGAGAGAGAGAGGACACACGAAGGAAATAGAGAAAAGCAGAGAGGAGAGGAATGGGACGGGGGAGTAGGCAAGGGAGAGAATTTCAAGAACGTTGTGGACTCTAATGCCATGGCTGGCTTTAGTAGACAACTGTCAGAGGGATGCTGCCCCTCTCCCCCAGGGTAGGATAGGCTGAAGCAAAACAGGATGCCCAGAGCTCTGATTTTCTTGAATTCATTGAAAAGTAGGACAGAAACTGTGCTGTCTAAAAGATGTGTGTGTGTGTGTGGGGATGGGTATGCTGGTTTTGGGACTTGAACTCAGGGCCTCTGACTCTAGCTTAGCTTTTCCACTCAAGGCTGACATTCTTCTAATGGAGCCACAGCTCCACTTCCACCTTTTTTTTTTTTTTTAAACTGGTCAATTGGAGATCAGAGTCTCACAGATTTTCCTGCCCAGGCTGACTTGGAACCTCCTGAGTAGTTAGGATGACAGGCATGAGCCACTGGTACCTGCTTTATCCTTTACTCAGGATGAGTGAATGGAAGAGAAATGAGAACGCAGTATTGCTAAATCTGGCATGGCACGGTTTGTTATCATTTGGCATTTATTTGGTAGAATGTGGAGCCCAGAACCCCTTTCTAGTGGCTTCTCAATGACAAGCCCATGCACTGCGCCCATCACTTACCTTATTTTATGAAAGGTAGATGAAGTATTAATTTTTTTTAGCTCCCAAAGCAGAGTATTTTGGGCTAGGAGTCGGAGTCACCATGAAGCACAGCTTATTTGTCAGGAGTTGTATTTATTCTCATTTGCAAATGTCTTTGAGTTTGGATGGCAATGTGAGAAAAGTCTTTGGAAGATGTTTTGAAGTTGAATTAAAAGACAATTTGAAGCCAGGCGCTGGTGGCTCACACCTGTAATCCTAGTTAGTCAGGAGAGTGAGACTGGAGGATCATGGTCTGAAGCCATTTTTGCTGGTCGTGGGACTTGAACTCAGGGCCTGGCACTGTCCCTGAGCCTCTTTGTGTTCAAACTCTACCACTTGAGCCACAGCACCACTCCTGGCCTTTTCTGAATATTTTATTGGAGATTAGAGTCCCGACTTTCCTGCCCGGGATGGCTTTGAACCATGATCCTCAGATCTCAGCCTCCTGAGTAGCTAGGATTACAGGTGTGAGCTACCAATGCCAGGCTTCCAAATGAATTTTTAGACATTGATATTAACTTTCATCAACAATAGTATAAGTGTCCGTTCTGATTCATCACTTAATGCTGCTCTGAATATATTACCTGTGCTCCAAGCAATAATCTACAGTGTGTTTGTTTTATAATGATGGCCAAGAGTGTGGTAAAAAGACTATGGTTCCCCAGAGCTGTGTTTTAGGGACTGGCTAGACCACAGCTATAAATACATTCAGTGTTTCATTGGATACTAGACTTCTGTCAGGAAAAAAATTGAAGTGGTGGGTTAGCAAATTAATTTTTTTCCTTTGACAACAGTGGGATTTGAACTCGGGTCTCATCCTTGCTCTACCATTTAACACATGCTTCTAGCCCTTTATTATTATTTTTTTCAGGTTGTTTCTTAATTATTTATTTATTGGTGCCAATCCTGGAGCTTGAACTCAGGGCCTTGGAGCTGTTTCTGAGCATTTTGCACAAGGCTAGTGCTCTACCACTTGAGCCATGGCTCCTACTTTTTTTCCCCTGGTTATTTGGAGATAAGAGTCTCACAGACTTTCCTGCCTGGGCTGGCTTTGAACTGTGATGATCAGGTCTCAGCCTCCTGAGTAAGCAGGATTACCGGCGTGAATTACCAGTGCCTGGCTAGACATAATATATTTTAAATAATTGCTAATTATAAGTTAATGTAGAAATGTTGGAAGCTGTACCATTTTAAATGCTTAAGGCCTGTATTCAAAAAAAGTTTTAACAAATCAATTATGCTGAGTTCTCTCTAGTAGAAAAATCTCAAGAATAGAATATACCCTCTGAGTCATCATATAATTAGGTTATATTTTATTAGGCATTCTTTACAAATTTAAAATACTGCTATTTTTACATGCACAGGGGAAAATCAGCTTGAATAATTATCTTTAGGCATTCATTAAAATCAACCACAAAATAGAGACACTTCATTGTGTCATTTATCAATACTTGATATGTATATCTAAAGTGCATTATGTTACAAAAAATATAGAAAATCAGCAGCACCAAGATACCTTTACAAAATAAATACATCAGTTGACAAAATAAATTATGGTAAATGTGATATTAATAATCGGATTAGCCCTGGCAAAAATAAAATATTCACAATGGCCGATGTGCAGTTTCATGGAGCAGTAATGGAGATGACAGCTTTATTCTAATGCATTTACAGTATTTACAGATAATAAATATTTCTAATACTTTCCATATGTTTACTATTACAAAATTCTGTAATTCGTCCTTGGAAGTTTTCGGCTGAAAATTTCAGTATGTCCTGTGAGGAGAAGGAAGGGGAAGAAGAGGAAAAAGAAAACAGGTGAATTTTTCTTCAAAATGGGAAGACACAAAATAAAAACTATATCACTGGGCAGGGTGGCTTACACCTGTAATCCCAGCTACTCAAGCAGCTGAGCTGTGAGGGTCAAGGTTCAAAGCCAGCCCAGTCAGGCAGATCTGGGAGACACTTATGTCCCATTAACCATCACGAAGCTGGAAGTGGAGGTGTGGCTCACATGATAGAGCCATAAGGGAAAGCCTAGGGACAGTGTGTAGGCTCTGAGTTCAAGTCCCAGTACTGACCCAAGAAGCAAAATAAGTCAGTAAGTTACTCACTGTGTTTCTACTAAATGATATTCATTGACTGAGTTTAAGAATAAAAATGGGAAGAAATAGTGTTTGGAACAATTGTTTTCCCAAAGAGAAAGAAAAAGGAAATAAATTACTTGACCAGGAAAATATATTTAAAAAATTTCACCTTGTCTACATGCCAATATATATATATATATATATAAATACATACATACATATGCACACATATAAACATTTGTATACAATATATATGTCTGTATAGGCATATATACATACATATATTCTCTTTGCTACTGGTATTGGGGCTTGAACTCAGGCCCTCACTCTGTTGCTTAGCTTTCTCTACTCCAGGCTGGCACTCTACCACTTGAGCCACACTTCCACTTGCAGGTTTTTGCTGGTATAACTCACTTGTGTTTGTCTACCTGGGTTGGCTTCAAACTGTGATCCTTAGATGTCAGCCTCAAGAGGAGTTCGGATGACAGGTGTGAGCTGCCTGCTTCTGGCTAGGAATTTTTTACTTCTTGATCTCTGAACTAAGGACGATTAACCACTCAAGTGTGAATAAAACAAGTTACATTTCTACTGCATTTCTCTGGAAAAATTATGTCAGCTTGCTAATGGACAAACAGACATATGAGAAAACCTTAATATTTCTCAAACCAATACTTAAAATGATTCATTTTTCATGAGCTGGTGAAAACCAGAGTTAAATCTAATTAAAACTTAAAACATATTTAGAACATATGTTTAAAAATAACTTAATGTGCCAGTCACAGTGGCTCATGCCTATGGTCCTAGCTACTGGAGATGCAGAGACAGACTGAGAAAATAATGTTTGAGTCCAAAGAGGGCAAAAAGTTCCTGCGAGCCCATAAAAAGCTGAGCATGGTGGTACAAATGGCCATGCCAGCTACATGGAGGTGGAAAGCAGGAAGATCTCAGTTCAGACTCTGTAGGCAAGAGGTGAAAGATCTTACCTGAAAAATAACTAAAGAAAATCAAACTGAGGGTGTGGCTCAAAGGATAGAAAGCCTGGAGTGATGAATTGAATTCAAAACCAGGTTCCAAACAACAAAAAACAAACTTCAAAACGTTTTGTTGTTGTTGTTGTTGTTGTTTTTTGCCAATCCTGATGCTTGAACTCAGGGCCTGGGCACTGTCCCTGAGCCTCTTTGGTTAGTGCTCTACCACTTGAGCCACATTGCCACTTCTGGAATTTTTTTCTGAGGAGTTTATTGGAGATAAGAGTCTCACGGACTTTCCTCTCTGGGCTGGCTTTGAACTGGATCTCGGCCGCAGTAGCTAGGATTACAGGAGTGAGCCATCAGCGCCGGGTGAAACTTAATGTTTCTAAATAAAAATAATTTGGAATTGAAATTCAATGATGCATGGCTGGCTCTGGAGATGCTTTCCTGCAGTGTCTGTAGATCTTATTCAAGCATCTTCTAAAATTAGAGCTATGGCTCAAATGGTAGAGTACCAGTCTTGAGTGAAAAAGCTACAGGACAGTGTGCCCAGGCCCTGAGTTCAAGCCCCAGTACCTGTGTACATACATGTGCGCGCGCAAGCCCCAGTACCTGTGTACATACATGTGCGCGCGCGCGTGTGTACACCCATGCGTGCACGCATGCGCACACACACGCACAGTCTCAGTCTTTTCTGCCTGGACTGGTTTGGAACCAAACCCTCAGATCTCAGCCTTTGAGCAGCTAGGATTACAGGTGTGAGGCACCAGCACCCGGCTAGTCTTGGCTTTTGTCTGCTTTTCAGGTGCGTGGCAGTTGATGGAGACTCAGAAAGAAAGAACTATTTGGGTTTGCCCCAGGCAAGGGCAGAGGGGAGAATGGAAAGCCAGAGCAGACCCAGGTGAAACCAGGCCCAGAGAACTGATACCTTGAACGGAGCTGCAGCCATGTGGCTGAGGGGTCAGTGTGGTGGGCCCCTTCGGACTCCATGCTGGTGGCTCCTTGGTCCCTCAGGGCAGATCGAGTTCTTCTTTTCTTCTTCTCCTGCTCTTTGCGCTTGCCAGGCTTGGCTTTCTTCTTCTTCCCAGGGGTTTTGAGGGGCTGCTCCTTGTAAGGCTCCACCTTGTTGGTTTCCTGAGTTAGGTATCTGCCCTCGTCGCTGGCTCCAAGTTGGACTGGATGGTTCTTGGTGTTTGGGGGAGGCTTAGAGTTGGGGGACACCTCTGAAGTGGCTCTGATCTCGGCCGTGTGGATCTCGGCGATGAGATGGTGGAGGAAGTAGCGGCGTCTCAGGTCCTGAATGGACTTGCCCTTGTCATGGAGAAGCTGGTGCTCTGACACGGCCCGCTTGCTGTGACAACAAGAACACACGTTAGCGTGGCCCTGGGGATCCACCTGCACGTGGAGGCAGAGGAGCAACTGCTCCACGACCCTCCGGGATCCAGACAGAGGGCAACAGTCGGGGCAGGGGATGAGGAGGGCCAGCCTTCTGGGGTTGCTTTTCCAGTGTCAACTGCTACGGTTTCCTAGGGATCAGTAGCTCACACCTGTAACCCAGCCACTCAAGGAGACTGAGATCTGAGGATTGAGGTTGGAGGTTTGAAGTCAGCTTGGGCAGAGAAGGCTGAGACTCTTATCTGTAAAGTGCCAGCAAACGGCTCATACCTGTAATCACAGTGACTCGGGAGTCTGAGATCTGAAGATCGCAGTTCAAAGCCAGCCCCAGGCAGGAAAGTCTGTGAGACTCTCCTATCAAGTTAACCACCAACAAGCCAGAAGTGGTAAAGTGCTAGCCTTGAGTAGAAAAAGCCCAGTGAGAGTGCAAGGCCGTGAGTTCAAGTTCCAGTACTGGCATGCATACACATGCACGCACGCGCACATACAGACACAGACACAGACATGACTTATTGGATGGGAATCTAACAGGAGCCTGGTTACATGGGTGGGAGGAGCTGCTTTGTTTCTGAGGGAGCCACGGTGACTAGATGAAAATTCACTTGCTCTGACAACAGTATTCTGGAAACTTAATAATCTGCAAATTGGAGGTTTGAGTACAATGTATTTACCCTTTAATAGCATTTTTGAAAGCTAGAACTATATGATGGCATGTTTCATAAGCAATAAAAGTTAATAAATATCTTTTACAAAAATGTGACATAAAAAAAAAAGCAAAACTGGGCTGGGAAGGTGGCTCAGTGGTAGAGCGCTTGCCTTGCATGCATGAGGCCCTGGGTTCGATTCCTCAGCACCACATAAGCAAAAAAGAAAAAAACCAGAAGTGGCACTGTGGCTCAAGTGGTAGAGCACTCACCTTGAGCTGAAGAGCTGAGGGACAGCTTCCAGGCCCAGAGTTCAGGCCCCACGACCGGACCAAAAAAAAAAAAAGCAAAACTCTTTTTGGCCAGTACTGAAGCTTGAACCCAGTACCTTGAGCTCTTACTTAGCTGCTGTACTCAGGCTAGCCCTCTATCATTTGAGCCACAGCTACACTTCCAGCTTTTGGGTGTTTCATTGGAGATAAGAGTCTCACAAACTTTCCTGCTTGGGCTGGCTTTGAACCTCAATCTTCAGAATTCTGCCTCTTGCGCAATGAGGATTAAAGGTGTGATCCAGAGCACCTGGCTAAAAAAAAAAAATCTCCAGTAATAATAATTGCGATGAGGGAAGGTTTTCTTTCTCAGTTCCTGGCCTACATATCTGTATTTGTGTCTCGCTCTTATTAATGAAGCCGTCCATTCTAGCTCACCTTAGAGCCAGAATGTGAGCACAGGTCCTCTCAGAGCCAGCTGCTAGGAGCTCTGAGGCCTGGCAGTCACCTGCTAAATTTTGGTGTCTTCAAATCAAGAGACACATGTTCCCAGGGTGACTCTCCTGGGAATGCAATATTCATTCTCTCCTTGTGCTCTGTAACAAGCAGACACGGCACAACTCTGTCTTATTTAAAAGGAGTACATCTTCAGCCTGGTTCTGGGGGCTCACACCTGTCATCCTAGCTACTCAGGAGGCTGAGATCTGAGGATCACGGTTCGAGGCCAGCCCAGGTAGAAAGTGCAGGAAACTTCTCTCCAATTAACCACCAAAAAGCCAAAAGTGGAGGTGCTCAGTGGTAAGAGTTCCAGACTTGAAAAAGCTAAAAGGATAGCACCCAGGCCAAGTTCAAGTCCTGCATTGGCACAATAAGTAAAATTAATAAAATAGCATAGTGTATCTTTTACAAGGTACAAAGCTTTCCGTCCATCTTTTAGAAGAAATTGTTAGAATATTGGAAAACATAAAGAGTTGTGAAACAAAATATGAAATATTGTTAAGCCATGCTATTTAGTATTTTTTTTACTTTTTTATTTTAAGTAGTTAGACAAAGGGGTTACAATTGCACAAGGTTATTTAGTATTTTTAAGACTTTTGCCTTTAAAGTAGTGTGTGTGTGTGTGTGTGTGTGTGTGTGTGTGTGCCAGTACTGGGACTTGAACTCAGGGTGTGGGCACTGTGCCTTCTGCGCTCAAGGCTAGCACTCTACCAGTTGAGCCACAGCTCAAGCTCAGCTTTTGATTTTTTTTGGTGGCTAATTGAAATAAGTATCTATTTTCTGTCCAGGCTGGCTTCAAACTGAGATCCTCAGATCTCAGCCTCCTGAGTAGCTAGGATTACAGTCGTGAGCCACAGGTATCCTGGCTGGTCTTTAAAATCCTGTGAAGCACAAACCTCTGATTGGGAAATTGCATGAGAGGGTGAGGAATACAATCGTATCTTTCTCATCAACAGGGAAGGAGGACCATAAACTATTCTCTTTATTTCCATAACAAGGCATGAATTGACATAAGGAGAAATCCTGGGCATGTACAAACTCGATACACCTTCGAGGTGAGTAATCAATTCAAAATTAAGGGGGTTTTCAATTAGATAACTCTCTATTTAAGTTGTAAATAGAGTATAAAAATAGTTGGTTTTTTAACTCATCTGCAAACATGAAAAGTAGCCCAATTGCTCACCTGGCATTTATGACACACCTGGGCCCTAACTTAGAAAAAGAAATATGGCATTTTGTCTGGTGCCACGTGATTATTGTTTGAAAAAAGAAACCCATCAAACATTTAAAGGAAACATTTCACACAAATAATTTTAAATTCAGTCAAATCGCAGCTGTTAATTTCTAAATTAAAAATTCTATGGACACCTGGGGCTTACGCCTGTCATCCTAGCTACTCCGGAGACTGAGATCTGAGGATCGCCATTTAAGGCCAGCTGGGTCAGACAAACCCAAGAGGCTCTTATTTCCAATCAAGCTGCAAAAAGCTGGAAGTGGAGAGAACCAGCTTGAGCAGGGGGGACAAAGCTATGGGACACTGCTTAGGTCCAGAGTGCAAGCCCCAGTACTGGCAGGCACATGCATGTGTGTGCTTGCACCCCCCCCCACCTCACCTCCTCCACTTATGGGGGATTTTCCAGGGTGGGGAAAGAAGATTGCATTTCTAAGGAACTTTCAAGGAACAGAAAGAATAAAGAGTCATGAAAGTTTCTCTTCCTGCACAGGAAAGAACAGCATGAGTGTTAATGTAAAACTCCCAAGACAAGACTCTGAGTCTGAGAAAGTTCCGAGATACACGAAAGAGACAGGGTTAGGGTGTTAAGAGTTGAGATGATTCACTCAGAGGCCCTTCCAATTTGTATGACTCAGCTGAAAGTTACGCTTTTCATTAAGTGGGAGAGACCCGGGCTGGCTCGGGAGCCAGGCAGCCAAAGATGCTTTCGCCTCAATCTGCTGCGATTCCCTCTCTCACTTAAACCCAGAGCTAGCCACCTGTCTGCCAAGCCTTATTCATCTGCCCAAATGAATTCAAAGACCTCATTTTCTTTCCAGTCTCCAACTCGGTCAAAGCTCTACACCCCGGAAATAAAATCTTTTCGACTAAGAGGTCCAGAAAATTCACAACTTGTAATTACCTCTTTGATGTGGCATAGGCAGTACAATCTCAGTACTATGTCTCCTTTTTTTTTTTTTTTAAAGTAACTTCTGACCAGAGGCCAGTGGCTCATGCCTGTAATCTACCTGTAATCCTAGCTGCTCAGGAGGCTGAGATCTGAGGATCCCAGTAAGATGCCAGCCCAGTACAAAAGTCTGTGAGATTCCCATCTCCAATGAACCACCAAAAAGCTGGAAGTGGAGGTGTGGCTCAAGTGGTAGAGTGCCAGCCTTGAGTGGAAATGGCTAAAGGAGAGTATGAGACTCCAAATTCAAGTCTCAGTAGCATCACACACCATACCACACACACACACACACACACACACACACACACACAGAGCACTAGCCTGACTTCATGTACAGTAAATGAATGTTTTGTCTATTGCTCAGAATTTACTGTTACATGGCAGAGAGACAAAAATAATGTGTTTTTTTAAACTCCCTTTGGCTGTGATAATTTGATGAAATCTCTTCATCTGCTGATGAGTTCTGTTGTATGAAGCATCGGGGCTGGAACCCGGTGATCTATCAGCATGAACGATGAGGGTGTTTTGTGGTGATTTATAACCATCTGTTGAGTGTTTAACTACAATATTATATTTCACCCACAATCAAAACCCTGGCTACTAAATGGGTTTCTAATGTGGGTGGGTTATTTTATTTTTTTGCAAGGTACAACAAAGGAATAATTTTTAAAAAGTAAGCATCAAGACAAACTTAGAACCATTTTCACATGCTAGAATGTGGATTTAACTGTGGCTCACTTACTATTTCTCAAAAGAGGAAAAAAGCATTTCTTGAGTACCCTCTGAAAAAATTGGCGGTACTTCAAGATAGTATTTCTTAGCCAAATAAATATAGTATGTAAGTGTGCTTTTAAATTTTCAGTCTTCATCTATATTTCGATTTGTGTGTTAAATAATTGAATATAATACAAGTCATGAAATAAAGCAAGAAGTCTGAGGACAACTTATAGAAATAAGTGAGTATAAACATTGATTTGGAGAATACAATGACCCTTTATCTTTGCGTATAAAGTTTTAGACAATTTGCCTTAGGAGCTTTTTAATAGATTTCAACCAAAGTTCAGACAAGTCTTAAATAATTTCATTTAAGGATTTTCCCCTTTAAGAATAATAATATTAAATCAAGGGCCACTTAAAAACAGTTGTTTTTTCCTATATCCTCGAGAATTTAGAAGAAAGCATCGTGACCCCAATTATGAATGTTAGCTATTTCTACTTTTATTAAGTGAAAAAGTTTTCCTTAATTCTTCCTTTTCTTTCTTCCCTTCTTTTACTTCCCTCCCTCCCTTCTTTCTTTCCTCCTTCTCTCTTCCTTTCTTTCCCTCCCTCCTTTACTCCCTCCCTATCTCTCTCTCTCCTTCCCTCCCTTCCATATGTGCCAGTACTGGGTCTTGAACTCAGGGCCTGGGCGCTGTCCCTTAGCTTTTTCACTCAAGGTTGGCACTCTACCACTTTAAGCCACAGCTCCACATCTGGCTTTTTGGTTCTTAATTGGAAATCAGAGTCTCACAGACTTTTCTGCCCGGGCTGGCTTTGAACCTCGACGCTCAAATCTCAGCCTCATAAGTAGCTAGGATTGTAGGCATGAGCCACCAGCGCCCGATGTTCTTGGCTCTTAAAGCTTATGCTTTTCCTGTCCTGAGTCCTGAGACCGATTCTTCAAGATTGCCCAGAGATGGCATCACACAAGTTAATGAGCTGCCAGTCCTACAGATAATTAAGACAGGGTTACTCTAGCTCTCTTCCCATTTTTCAATTGTTACACCCAAGTAATATTTCCCTGGTGTGCTTAGATAGATGATCGTCTCAAAGTCAAATTACCCTTCAAAGAACCACCAATGGAGAAAGTAAAAAAAAGCCCAAGCGCTCAGTGCACAGGGCAAAAATACTTGCTGCCTGTCAGCCCTCGCTCGAAGCAGGTTCGAGCACCCACCGTTTGCGGGGGGGACCCAGCGCCCTGACCTTCTTGAATCTGAGCCACAGTCAAAGTGCTGGCTACTTTCTTATATAATATGCCTTCGTTATATAATACGGTCCAGTTTATATGCTTTAAACAAATGATGTCATTCATCTATACAATTAGATGTCGAGCCATTGCTCTTCCCACCCCAACAAGCAGCCACGGTGCAGTATGCTATCCATGTGCAAAGGCCTAAGTTCTGGGGGTTCAACTTCCTCTGCATTCCCAAAGTCTTCCCGGGGAGCAGTCCATCCTCCCTCAGGGAGACTCCGAAAGGAAAAATAACAGAGGCACCCCAGGATCTGGGTCTCCCCGCTCTCTCCTCGCTCTTCCCTCTGCGTCTCCCGGCGGGCGGCTCGACGACCCATCTCTCTGCCGGCGCCGGGAGCGTCGGGGACCGCTCTAAGTCCCTCAGCCCGCAGCCCCGCTGGCCCGTCCGAGGCGGCGCCCGGGAGGGGTGGGGTACTCACAGCCGGCGGCCGAGCCCGTCCACCGCGCGCCCGCAGCAGGGCACGGAGTAGTAGCTGAGCAGGAACACCGCCACGCTCCAGCGCCGGACCAGCGAGCGCAGCATCGTCTCTCCTCCTCCCGCGGACCTGGAACCGAACGCGGCGGGGCGCGGAGCGTCAGCCCTTGCCCTCGGCCCGCCGCCGC